TAAGAACTGTACGAATATTTATTGCTCCTATGTTTCTGCCAATTTGTTCGTTTTCCTTGTCAATCTTATAATTGATTCAAAAAAATAATTGTTTGTTTCATTACATCTATTGTAAAGACTTTCAAAAATATATATAAATTTATCGTTTATAAAAAATTAGTATTAAACTACAACTTCAAAACATTTTATTTCAAATAGATCGACGTACGAATACTTTCTACACCCATTGCGTATCATATTTGAATGAATTTTTTTTAACGGATAATTATATACTATATATATATACAAAAAAACCTGAGATTTTAGAAAAAGATTGCGGTGGAATAAGTTTATTTATTGTTATCGGAATATCTTTCCAATGTTTGTGTGTTAAACGATATAAGACGAAAATAAAACAAATGAATATCAACAATCATACTAACCGTTATCGATCGTCAGATTTTTATGTTTATTATTCTCACTAATCGTAAGTTACAAGCGGTATTGGTAAAATATTATATTCAACAAAATTGTTCAGTATTATAAGAATTAATTTATTATTTATTAGAAATTATTTATTTGTTTATATATTTTTTAAGAAGCACTATAATTATAAATAGATACATTTTTTACTGCTTCCCCGAAGGGTTACACTCCTTTTACAATTATATCCTTAACCTATCTTAACACTACTCTCTCCCTTACTTCTCCCTTCCCCCTCCACCCGTCCCAAACCTCTGCTTCTACCACCTTCACTCCCAACCTTATCTCTCCTTCCCCTCTCTTATACTCTCAACCCTCTTCATCCATTCTTCCCCTATTCCACTCTTATCTAAAATCTCTCTTATCTTTTATTCTATTCCTCTCCCGTCCTCCTCACCTATCGTTCTGACGCAACCATCCAACAAATGCTCCCACGTCTCTCTCTCCCACCCGCACACCCTGCATCGTCTCTTCTCCTCCTCCTCCCAATATCTCCCTTCCCTCATCTCATTCCCTAATCTGAATCTCGCCACTCTTCTCTTCCTCTCTTCACTCCACTTGCTTTCCAAATACTTCGGTATCCCTTCCGCTATCACTAGCTTGTACCATTTATTATATCTGGAGCTTTGTATTTTCTCCCACCTTTCGTCCTCCTGCCGCCTTCTTTCCTCCTTCTCAATCTCTTCCCAACTCTCATCAACCTCCTCTCTGTCCTGCACTATCCTCTCTCTAAACCTTTTCCTCCCTTCTTCCCATTTTGAAATCTCCAGCTCACTTCCTTCTCCTCTCCTTAGCTTCTCCTCGTACTTCCAAGCTCTCTTTGCTGCTCTTGTTCTCAGTTTATCTCTTTTCCCTTCTTCTCTTACCATGTACCCTGGTGTCCTCCAATCTACTCCTAGTGTCCACCTCAAGTACCTTTCCTGTACCCCCTCGATCTCTTTCCTCTCCTCCCACCCCCATATCTCCGCTCCGTAGCTTAACACCGTCAACACCAGCGTGTCGAAGAGCCACATCCTCCTCCCCCAATCCTTGCTAAACATTCTTCTCCCAAATCCCCAAACCTGCCTCATTGCTGCCCCTGCTTTCTTTATCCATATGCTTCCTATCCCTTAAGTGCGCTTCCTGTCCTCCATTCTTTCTGTATACATAGCCCAAATACTTGAACTCTTTCACCTCTTCTATCCTCTTCCCTTTCCAATTCCAGTCTATCTCTCTATTTCTTCTCCCTCCTCTCCTAAATTTTAGTATCTTTGTTTTCTCCACATTCACCTCAAACTTTTTCCTATCACAATACTCCTCCATCCTTCTCAGCATGCTTTCCATTTCTTCTTCTCTTTCAGCCAACAAGACCACATCATCCGCGTATGCTAATGAACCTATCCTCTTCTCTCTCACCCTTACACCACCCTATCTTCCTTTCATCAATACTTCCTCTAAATCTGCTATCAATACGTTAAAGAGTATCGGACTCATTGGGCACCTTTTCCTGAGCCCCTCTCTTATCTCTCTCTATATATATATGGTACTTACGTATTAACGCCATCGCAGCAAAATTCCGATAATGCGCCAATCTACACCTTAAATTGTTGCGACAAATCATAGAATAAAAAACTTTATTTTAAATCAAAACACTTTCAAAATTCAAAACATTTTATTTATAAAAAGTAGTCAATCGGATTTTGGTGGAAAATGGGCCGATATAGAATTTAACATAGATTCAAAACAGTCTCTATTTTCTTTCACCTGATGCTATCGCCATAACTCTGACGCAACCCTGACGAAACCCTGACGCAACTCTGACGGTTGCTGTGTGCAAACAACAAGGTTGTTGTGGGCGAACAATAAGATTGCTCTTTATTGGCGCATTAGCGGAATTGTTGCTGCGGTGGCGTTAATACGTTAATTAAATAACGATTAATTAATAATGAAATTATTAATTAATTATTAACACTAGATATACCAGGCTAGTCATTTTGACTGGTCGGGCCATTTTAATTCAAAATTTCTACTCCATGTAACATTTGAGTACTGTAAATAATTAAGCGTTTTGTTATTTAAAAATGTCTATAAATCCATTTATCTATTAAAATTATTATTGTTAAACATTTTTTGTTCTTTTTTAAGAGTAAATAAAGACTGGAAGCCTCGAAAAGCATTTTTTTATACACCAGTCATTTTGACTAGTATGGTAGAAATAGTTATACTGAAAATGATAGTATATCTAGTGTTAATAACATATTTTTATTTGTGTAGATTGTATCAAATATCGAACTTTTATGAAGAAATTTCATTCCTTGACATAAGACCAACAATAGTTTTTGGTTATTTATCAAGTGTGAAATCGTAAAGAACCAGATTTACAAAAATCGAAAGTTGTTAGAGGAAGAGTAAATGTAGAAGTAGACTATTATCGAACGAATCATCTCATAAAACCAATAGACACACTACAAATATTTTTTTTTTTTATTATTATTTTCTAGAAAGCCGAATAAAAATTCTTTTTTTTTAGTATTGGGATCCATGGTGACTAGACAAGGAGCACGAGCTCCATGTATACAAAGGGGATATAAAAATAAGAGAGCGCCCGTGTTCGCCTTGTACCAAAATGGAAGGGGAATAAGACGGCAGTTTAAAAAAAAATTATAATACGAAACAAAGGGTAATCATTTAGGTTGTTCAAGAATAAATAATTGAAATTAAATAAATAATTATTTAATAATCGTAAAAAATTGAGTAAATAGTAATATTAATAATAATAAATTTAGATTAAATCCTAATCATTTAGAAAAAAATAGTATTAAATGTAAATTTTATTGATAATAAAATTCAGTCAGATAAAAGTAATAGTTAATTCCCGTCTTCGTATGAGATCAGTTGCACTCCCACTATTGCAATTTTTAACTGCGCACACTCTGCCCATTTTTATATTTATAATTTTTTATTAATCTTATTTTTAATATTTTATTTTTGTTATTATTTTTTGTTTACATACAAGTATTAGGGTTAAGAACTATTTGCTCACTTCACGCATCAGTATGTTACTATATTCAAAACAGTACAAAGGGCATATTAGCGACCCTAATGGTGAAACAAGAAAACCTAAATATACGATTTGCGTGGACAGATTTTGGCAATTAATACGATTGAGCAGTGATCCCACTCGTACGATAATTGTACGGTAATTTACGATAATTCGATAATTTTCGATATATTTCGATTATGTTTCGATTGCAGCGCTTCCTATTGCCCTACACAGTCTTATTTATGAAAAAGATCACCAGTTAACTTTCTTCACACTTCGAAAAAGGAAGGGCGACTTGTTGAATAAATTAAACACATATTTTTACACGTTTTTTTTGCACTTTTGCATTAAAAAAATCTGGAAATCCGGAAAATCTTTGTTAACCTAGTCAAAAACTTGAGATGGAAACTTTTCCTGTGCGTACGATACTTTTACTGAAAACCAGATAATTTTACGGCACTGTGTCGATAAGACAAGCAAAAGTTTCTGGGATCACTGCGTTTGAGATCGTGCTCCTTGTCTAGTCTCTATGTTGGGATCTCTAGTAGGGACCCTATAGGAGGGACGCGTCATGTACATTGCTAGGGTGAAAATGTGGGGGACAGCTTCCGTTGCATCGCGCAGCCATGTTTATCTTTATTATGTATTAACGGTTGTGGTTAATTGAATCATTCACGCGCAATCACGTGACTACACGAGTTCCTGTCCCCCAGCAATGTACATGACGCGTCCCTCCTATAGGATCCCTAATCTCTAGCACTTAAATACGCTATCTGGTGGCTAAATTCAAAATTAGTGTAAATGTACCGAATTGCTGACAGCTGATAGCAATTACACGATATTTATGTAGAAATATTTATATTTTTAATTTTATGACTTGCTTACTTATTATTAAATGTGGAATTAAAAATAACTAGTATCGTTAAACTAAAAAGTTGTAAGAATTTTGTTTGTTTGTTATGGAGTTCCTAGCAAGAAAAAATAAAAGTAAAGTGTGTTGTTGTGTAAATGGTTGTACAAGTAAAGCTTGTCGTGATGAAGAAATAAGTTTTTTTCATTTTCCACCTCGTAACAAACAATTTGTTTATCAAATAAACAAATTTGGTGAAAAAAAAATAATTGATAGACATATAGCTTGGGTACAAGCGCTAAACATTAAAAAAAGTATAACTCGCAGTATGAGAGTTTGTTCACTCCATTTTATTAAAAATGATTTTTTACCTTCAAGTAAGTATTTTTAACAATTATTTTTTCTGTTTATTATAAATTGGTAAATCAGTAAATTTACTCATGCTTCTATTTTGTGTGTGTGTTGTTACAGCTATTGATTCAACTCGATCTCATTTAAAAAAAATAAGTGTTCCTAGTCAAAATCTTCCTTTAGGATCATCCAAAGAATGTTCTTATCCTATAGAACAAATAGATTCTCAAGAAGAAAGAATACTTGGAAGATCAATTAAAAAAGAATTAGTGACAGATAATGATATTGAAAAATTGAATCTAAATGAAAAAAAAGGGAAGAAGAGGAAGAAAGATCAAGGTGATAAAAATGAGGAAGAAGAAAAAGATGACGATGGAAACGAAAAAGAAATTAGTAATAACATAAATTGTATTGGACCTCAGACAATATGCGGTTCTACTAAGAAAAATGCACTTTTCTTAAAAAAATGTAAAAGTATAGGGATACAAGTTCAAAGTGACTTAATGATCCCAAAATTCTCTTCTTCAATTGCATCAAAAGAAGAATTAAGTACACTGACTGGTATTCCTACTTTTGAAGTATTAAATTTACTGGAAGAATTAGTCGTAACTGTAGGACCAAAACACAAAACATCTTCAAGATTTGACTTGCGAGAAATGATTTTGATGACTTTTATGATGCTAAAGCAGAATTTATCTTACGCTGTATTAGCAATTTTTTTTAAATGCTCTAAAGATATATGTAAAGATATTATTTTCGATATGATAAATAATTTAAATCTGTGTTTAAAACCTGTTATCTATTGGCCAACAAAGTATAATATTTTAAAAAATATGCCGAAATGTTTTAGAGGCTTCGAAAATGTTCGCGTAGTTATTGACTGTACAGAGGTTCGCATCCAGAAACCTTCAAAATTATGTTGCCAATTACAAACTTACTCAAATTATAAAAGTACRTACACTGTAAAGTTTATGACTGGCATGACACCAGCTGGATTAATTTCTTTTGTAAGCAAACCTTACGGTGGACGTATTTCGGATAATATGATTTTTGAGCAAAGTAATTTGTTAAAAAAAATGGATAAAAAAGATGCATTATTAGCAAACAGAGGATTAACTGTTGATAATCTTTGTAAAGAATATGACGTGACTTTTATATCACCAATATTTCTTGGAGATAAAACTCAGTTCTCCAAGACAGAATCATTATTAAATCACAATGTTGCTAAAGCGTTCGTTCATATCGAACGCTGTAAACAACAATTGAAATGTTTTAATATCTTAAACGACAAAATGCCAATGTGTCTTCTCAGTAAAGTTGAAGAAATTTTTAATGTTATCTGCGGTCTAGTAAATTTGAGTGCACCAATACTAAAAAATGATGAGTTTTTTTCTTAAACTACGAGGTAGGTTCATTTATAATAAGTACTTTATTTTATATTATTTATTACATTTTAGAACGTCAGCAAACTTTAATTTATGAACTTTTTAACTCTTACAAATTACATAATTAATACAACATTTAACAAAAGTAAAAATTTTTCAATCTTGTTTTTGTTTATCACCGTGTTTACATACTACATGAGCCATTTTATTAAAATAAATTTTTGTTAAGGAATACAATAAATTTTAAGCGTATTTTATATCAAAGCTGATAGGTATTATCAGTAATTTATCGTCACATGGAGTATAAATTATAAAATAAGTTGTGAGGAGATTTAATTATTGTTTGAAATTTGGATAGCTTCATGTCTTCCAATTCTGAAAATAGAAAATACACAGAAGTATATAATAGAATGAAAACAGTAAATCATTGAAATTCCGAAATAATTTATTTGTAATAGTTTCTTATTTAATTTGAAAAAAAAATCGTACTTAGAAGTTAAAAATTAATTCACGTAATAGGTTAATATGTTTTGTATAAAAAGAAAAACATGATTGTTTTGTATAATAACTTAAAAAAAAAAATTTGTAAATAAAATAATAACAATTCGAAAATTAAAATATACAAATAATAGAAATTGATAATATAGATTATTTTAAAAATTGCTTGCGAAAATAAAAGAATGAAAAATCTGGTAAAAAATTTACATGTGTAAAGCCAAAGCAGAAGACTCAAGTTTAGCAACCATTAAGTTTCTTATTTTTGTATTTTCCTCCTCAGACAGCTGGAAATTTTCATCTGAATCCTTGGATTTAGTGTTGTCATCATTAGCTTTAGTCTCGTAGGGGTTTTTTTTTCGATATTTAGTATTTAAAATTTTTTTTCTCGACATTGAAAAACATTCATGCTCGTCCAATGGCTTGGCTTCATATTTTTCTAGTGATGATTTATGAGGTTGGTTCCCTACGCACTTTTTATCAGTGTACGTGATCATTTGCAAACTCTCCAAATCATTTCTATAAAATTGAAAAACAATTATAATAAATAAACTGTTGGAGTCACAGAGTAATCACAATAGGTAATGTAAATATGATAAAATATCTTACCGGTTACAATAGAGCAATACTGCTATAATATGTTTACAAGTACCACTTAAATCACCCTTGCATGAACAACCCATTCCAATTATTCGACCATCTTTTAATATTTCACCAGTTATTTCATGTGGATTATCTTTAATATGTGAAGTTTGTAAACAAAAAGCTCAAATACTTACAATATTACAATCACTACATGGTACTTGCCCACACTTAATCACATGTCCAGCATTTAATACACTTTCACCATCAACAAAACTTTTATTGCTTGATTCTGTGCAAGCAAATTTAAAAATTTCTTGCAATRTAAGTTTCATTTTATTAAATTTAATTACAAGACAATGATAATTTTATAAAAAAATTTCTACGTTGTTCTCTATTTTGTTTATATTGGTAATGTACAGTAACCTATTTGTTCTAGTTCATATTTTTGCCGCTAGGGAAAATTTTCCTACCCGTGCTACTGCCAAAGATCCTAGTACAAGGTTCAATGCTATGTTATTTAGTTAGTCTTATATCCACAAGAAGCGTAACTATCGTTGACGTACACATCACTGAATGGTTTGTAAAATGGACAAGTAACGATTATAGCAATGATCCCATTCGTACGATAATTTGAAACCTTGTACGATCCAAAATTCAGCCTGTACGATAACTTTCGATTTTACGATAATTATCACTGTGCAATTTGGAAATCAGAAAACTTGATGATCTTTTTTTTCTTTTGATTCGATATCTCGAGAAGAAAGAACCACCACTGTACGATCTGATCTCTCTCCCTGCCGTACGCCATACCTACGACAGCTTCTTTGAACTTGAAGACTAATTTTTTTATGATTTTGTGGTTTCCGGTGGACTTATCGAACCGCCGACTAAACTCAGCCAACTATCAAATAAAAAAAAAAAAGGTTATAAACTTTGAAAAAGTTGGAACTTTTACTTTTTTTAAATTTAATCCGACAAATTCAACAAATTCAAAATTTTCCTGTGCGTACGATAATTTTCCGGTGTGTACGATAATTTTCGTCGATTAGACGAACTAAAGTCTCTGGGATCACTGCTCATATATGCAATACTCCTATATGGACAGTTTCCATAAGTAGAAGCTGTTCCGACAAAGTGAGACAGATAATGTCACCTTCTTTATCCTCCGAGCTTCCAGCTCAGTTCTGTGCATCGTTTGCATACGGGAAAACGCGCGTCGAGTAATTCAAATAAAATATATTTTTATAATAACTTTTTATTTTATTTACGAGGAAAATAAAATTTTTTTTCAAATATAAAATGATAATGAATAATTTTATTTTTATTGCTTAGAACAATGTAAAAAATTAATTCATTTTTATTGAATTCTGGAAGTATTTATTTTATTTTTACCTATGCATTGAAATATGGTCAGCTTTAGATGCTTTTCTATTACATAAATAACACGAGTTCACCATTTTTTAATAATTAGTTGTTGAAAATAAAATATTGATAAATTAAAATCACAAATTTGTAAAAATTTAGGATTATTTTTCTGAATTATAATAATGAATAATACTGTAAACAAAATTTTAACCGCAAAATTATTCTACAGTTTATGTCGCCACTCACGGAGGATAGTCCAGGAGTCCGAACGGTATAGGATTTTTCACCTTATTTGTGGTAGTCATTTCTTGACCCAGATCATAGTACTCTTTTTTGCCACTGGCTGCACAAGTATTCAGAACGTACCGATACTATTATTATTATTACACGTAAATACGGACTGGTTAACCTGGCTCGTGAATGTAAAAATAAATTAAATTAAATAAAAAGCTTAGAAGAAGTTGTGTTAATGGTGGTTGGTACAAAAACAGTGAAGATTGACACAATGTTTGAAATATTAGATGATGTTTCTAAAAGGAATATCTCGATTTTTATTGGCTGTGATGAGAATAAGAAAGAATTAATATTTGAAAGAACAAACAAATTTTTTAATAATGCGGGGGCATTTTCTTGTCAAATGTTTTAATAAAAGTGCTACGGAAAGAAAAATTAAATCTCAAAAATCTCGAAAAAATTCGAAATTATTTTAACTCATATTTACCATCAATAAAAAAAATTAATCACTCTAATTTAAAAAATAATTTAAAATTCTCGATTACGAAAGCAATATTCCGGATACTCTTAAAACTTTAATAATTTGGTTTGTAAATATTAAATATGTTTTATTTGTACTATTAATAAATAATATGTTTGACAATAACTTATTTATTATTTTTTTTTTTCATCAAGTATATTTATCGTGATACTCAAATAAATAGGCATTTGACAATTTTTAAAAATATCTTTATTAGTAAGTTTTCATAGAGACAATTTTTAATAATTTTACATGGAAAGATTACAAATGAACTATAAACTCAATTTCTTAAAATTTTTCTTCGCATAAATCTATTTTTTTTTTAAACAAAATGGTTTGGTGCCTACTGATTTTTGTATTATGATTTATTAATATCAGATGTTTTTAACTTTGCAGATTATCTCTTAAAGTTCTTGATATTGCTGTGTTGAAAACGTTTGAGGTTTCTAAAAATTTCTTTAAACTTTTATTTAATTCCATGTTTCTCAGAATATTTTTTTCAGAGCTGTCAGAGTTCAGTATTTATAAATGTTTACAAAAAGTGGCGTGGTTGTAAGAATACAGAATACAAAAGAGTAATAAATATAAGACCGACTGACGGATTGATTGATAAACTGATTGGTTTGCAGAATGACTGATATAACAGATAATACACAGACGGATATATACAGACAGACTGATTGTATAATTAGTGGACTATAAGGACGCTCTCTTACTTCTTTTCACATATTTATATCAGAAATGAGCTACACCCCTTTGGAGAGAGAAGGAAATTATGAATCTTATTGACCAATAGCAAAAGGATCCACCCCTATAGTCCACCGATGTGTACAGCCTATGGTTTTGGTAGTGGAAACTATGCATAATGAACTTTGTCTAGAATATTGGAATATCATGACTTTCTATTGTATCACATGTGTTTACATAGGAAACTGAAACCTCTCAAAGGGACCAACACTGTACAAAGGTTTTCGTTGCATCAATATATCTCGTTAATTCTTAAGTTTGTTTTTGATATTATGGCCCTCCTAGAATATTCCTCTTAATCTCTGAGTGGAGTTTTCTCTCATTAAGATCGATAGCGTATTTAAGGGATAACACCACTATAGAGCCTTTTTTTGGGAACTTTTTTTGCGAAAACTAAATGAGGAATAGAATTTCTTTTTTGAGGGTTGGTTAATCATATATTGAACTATGTACACAAATATTTTTATTGATTTTAGATAGAAAATGGCATAGTCAGTATTCGTGACTGAACAAAACCCTGTTTTTTTTTTTTACTAAAACGGGCGGACTTATACCTGGACAACTATGAGACCCAGAATAAAAAACAAAAGAAATTCCTAATCTATGTACTATTATCTTGAGAAGTACATACGGATTTTTTCCAGATATATTTTAACAGTAAATGTTTTAAATAGATAATCCAGTATCAGTTGAAAATGTTGGCTTAAAAATGTCCTTTACTTTGAAACCTGTTGAAACGATACTCTTGAGATTTATCAGACGATAATATTTATTATTTTTGTCAATTTACTCGCATATGGACCATTTCCTTCACGGGTAAATTTCTCTTCCTGTATTGACTCTTTCTTTTTCTTTATAATCTTAACGAATAAAAGTTATATATAAATATATATGAAGTATGAATAAAATATGATTTTTCTTAAAATTGTATTATATAGTTACGATCAAGAAATTTAGAACAAAAATTTATTTTTTATTCTTACCTCGTTTGTTATATTATTTATGCATGTGAGATTTTCATGTAACCACTTTCCTAAAGATGAATTCTTAAATATAATATTGGGATACAACCACAATTTTGAGAATCTTTCCATAGTTATATCCATCATACTAAATAAAAATAAAATGCAATAAGAAGAAAAAAATATAAAGTTATATTATGTTATATTAAAAGTATAATAATTTTCTTTTGATTATTACTCATTCAAATATTTATCTAGTCTGCAGTCTTGATTGTTTTGCAAATTTAAATCAGATTCCAATAAGCTATCTGTCAGTAGAAAAAAAGAAAATAATTTTTTATGGATTTGTACATGTCTAAATATTTTTAAAATTCTACAGTTTCTAAGACTCAACAAATACTGTAAGTTGTCCAACGTATATAAATGTACGTAATGAGAAAAATCTAAGTTTTCTCCGTTTGTATTTTCTAAAACGTTTATTAGTCTTTTTGAATTCTTACTCAATGACTCCATATAATATGAAATTATTTTAGCATTGAATTTTGGATCTAGTATTTATTTTTCGATGTTTTTTTCATAATAAGTTGTACATAAATGTTTTTTCCTTCAAATAAGAAAATATTTTTTACTTGTTTTTCTTATTTTGTTTTTTTTTTTATATATTTAATAGTAAAAAATTAGGAAAGGATATCTTTATACATGCATAAACATGTGTTTATGTGTAGACATTTTATGAAAATGTACAGAAAAAAAACTATTATTAACAGCAATACTTTGTAAGTAATATTTAAAACGTACTTAATTATTCTTTGAATTTGGTAATTGTTTTGTATTAATTAAAAAGAAACCATCTGAGAGCTTATAATTTATCTGGTGCTGTAAATAATCCATCGCCCAAGGTATGATTAATAAAGTAATATAGGAAACTTTTCTTATCAGTTTTTGAGCTTTTTAAAAGAATCTGAAAAATAAAACAATAAATTGATATAATAAAATTCGAAATAAAAAAATAATATTTGATTTAATCGTTTGTAAAAAAGTGCAGTAAATTCAATAAATCTTACTTGAATATTTTCTAGATCATCGAAGATTAGAACTAATTTTGAGCCTACCCAGAATTGCCAAGGCGAAGAATACTTCAAGAAATAAATGTGAAATATACATCAAAAACTTTAAAATAACTAAATACATTTTCACTTATACCAACAAAAACGTCTTTATTCTTGTAACCTATCGTTAGAACCAACGATGCCGTATTTGATGTTTACTTTTTTTTTTTGCTAACACACGCGGGAAGTCAAAAGTCGTTTTCTTCCGAACGCGTTATTATTATTACGAGTCACCTTGCACGCGTCTTACAGGAATATTCAAAAGAAAATATCGCTAATATTTGCGTTTGGATCATTTTGATAAACAAAATGGTTTATTACAAAACATTTGGACGTTTAAATAATACGTAAATTTAAACAGTCTTTATATATATTATTCTTAGGTGTAATAGTTAAGACAATTTTTGTTAATTCGGTATTCAATGGGACAATTCAAGTTTACATGCAATCTCAAGATTTAGCATTAACAAAAATTGTCTTACCTTATAAACCTTTTTAGGAGAGCGAGATTATATAATTTAATTATTATTATTATTTTAATTATCATTATTATTATTGTTATTATTAGTTAGCGTTAGGAACTGGAAAGTCCATTGCCCCAAATATCAAATCCCGTCATTGTTCCCGTCCCTGAGCGCGATCCTTCCATTCGCTGTCTTCGTATCCTATTTCTTTCAGGTCTCTTCTAATATTATCCTCCCATCTACGTCTCGGTCTACCTAGTGGTCTTTTCCCGTTTGGTATACCGACCAATATTTTGTGCGCCGTTCGATCCTCCCCCATGCGCGCCACGTGACCAGCCCATCTTAATCGGCGTGATTTTATGACGTTAATAATGTCCGGTTTGTTGTACAATCGATGTACTTCTACGTTTTGGAGTTTTTTTCCATTCGCCCGTTTCCTCATCGCGTTTAGCACTGAAAATTTTACGATGAACTTTGTTTTCGAAAACCCTAAATTTCTTTTCGTCCCGTAACATAAGCGACCACGTTTCGCTACCATAAAGGACTACCGGCAAGATGATTGTCCTGTATATCCTGATTTTTAATCGCCTAGACAGCAACCGCGAGTTGAGTAATTTGTTAACTAAATAAAAACATGCCTAAATTGATTCTTTTCTTAAGTTCTTCGTTAATTTTGTTCGTCTGGTTTATGATTGATCCTAAATACCTAAAGTTGCTGATCTGTTCAAAAATTTTATTCTGGACGACCAAAGTTTCAGTACTAGGTATATTCTGAACTCTATTAGTGACCATATATTTGGTTTTTTCGGCGCTTATTTGTAGCCCCAGATCTTTCGTGTTATCTATTAGTATTTTCGCGTTATTGATTAATGACTCTTTGTGGTCCTCTAACAAAGCAATATCGTCCGCGTATGTCAACAATTTTGCCGCAGGAATCGAGTCGTTACCCGGTGACTTATGATTTTTTAGTTTTTTAATCGCCCTTTTTACCTCTAACATAGTTGGTTCACTAACCATAGGTTCCGCCGTATGGAACTCGAAATTCTCTGTTTCCCGGTCGTTCTTGGATTCTATATTTAATAACCGATTAAAACAATTTTTCCACGTGTTCAATATATCCGTTGCATCCGAAACTAAATTGTTGTTCGTATCTTTCACTAGATCCGGAATCCTAGCTTGGAATCTCTTTCTCAGTCTATTTATCCCCGAGTACATACCACGGACGTTACTGCTTTGGCAATTTTCATCAATTTCTTCAAGTATTTGTTTTCAAAATTGTCGCTTCTTGTTCTTAATTAAATTGTGTGTCGTTTGCCTTATATTGTAAAATTGGTCCCGGGCTAGATCCGTGTTTTGGGTCAGCAACGAGATACGCGCTTCGTTTCAGACTTTGATGGCTAACTCGCATTCTTCGTCGAACCATGGTTTGTTTTTGTGCCTTTTACAAAAACCAATGATGGCTTCCGCCGATTTGACCATCGCGTTGCGTATTTTTGCCTATTTTTTTATCCGTACTCTTATCTGCTTCGTCAATTTTCTTTGCGGACGCGAATCTTTTCGTTACTTTGGCCACGTACTTTGTTCCGTTTTCTCTCTCGGTAAGATTTTCTACGTTTATTCGTTTATTTCCTATCCGCTGTCCATTGGTCTTATTTACGAAAAGCCATTTCCTCATCCTAGCAATAACCAAAAAATGATCCGAGTTGCAATCCGCCCCCCTGTTCGACCTAACATCTAGTAAGTTCGTGTGTCGTGTGTCGTCGTTTATCTGCCAGAACGTGATACATTTGGTTATGCGTATTTCCGTCCGAGGAAATCCAGGTTTGTTTATGAATATCTTTGTGTTTAAAAAACCTGCTTTTAACAATGAGATTTTTCCCGGCCGTAAAGTAAATTACCCTTACTCCGTTATCGTTACTTTCCTCATGGAGACCCTCGGGCTCGATCGTTGGTCTAAAAAACTCACTTTACCGATTTTCTCGTTAAAATCTCCTACGACTATCTTCATGTAATCTTTCGGCAATTGATCCACGATGCGCTCAAGTTCCTCGTAGAACCCATATTTAACTTCGTCCTCTTTATCTTCCGTCGGCGCGTACACATTAATAATCGCTATCGTGTACCATCGCCCCTGAAATACGATCAATCCTAATCTTTCATTTATAAACCTAATGTCTTTTACCGCGGATAGCATTCTTTTCCTAATCATGAACCCGACGCTGAAACTATGGATCTCCGACCCTCCATAGTAAAGGGTATACGCCCCCGCGTTGCCTGAACCTTCCCCGGCCCATGTAGTTTCTTGTAACGCGACGGAGATCCGAACGGAGGACTAGTTTACCTTGGGAAACTTTTACCCTAGTAAAATCCATGGCGGTATTTATTAATGCTCGATAAAGTCGTTTTACGGTGAGGGGTAATCAGATCTACGCCCAACCCCCGAACAGGAAAGCTAATTCTAAGTCGGCTGTCCGCGACTGCTTATTCAATTTATTCGCAGCTAACCTCCGTCCCTATGCAGGACAAAGAGGCCCTTCCTCTATCCGCAACCTGAGGACGCGCTGTGTCGTGGTGACTGAGACCCACCCATCCTGGGGACTACTACAAACTAGTTTTCATTCCCCGAGACTAGCAGCTGTTATGCTAACACAGTCTTATAACTAATATTTATATTAAATATTATATAAATATATAATAATTATTATAAATTTATTATTAAATTTTTTTTTAATTAATAAAATGATCTATAAATAATAATGATCTATTAGAATGGTATATGAACTGTTTTCATCGACCTGATTGGTCCAAACTTCTAGTTATTTTTTAATTGGTAGATAAGAAAATACATATTATTGTACGACGAACGTAAAAGAACTAAGCATATCCGTTAGAAAGTTATCACAAAACCTAAACTGAACTAAAACTTTTTTTAGACTGCCGAAGACTGAGTAGATTGCAGTCCTTTTCTAAAATCAGTCCCTACCTAAATTCCATTCCTTCTACTCTCACCATAACTTTTAAAATAACCGTTAACCTATTGCTCGCTACAATACGAAAATATAAATAAAATTTAAATTTACTGTATAATAATATTCATACTATCAAACTAAAAGTATTCTTGCAACAATAGTTTTTTTTTATTAAAATATAAAAATTACGGACTATTAGATATTTGTGACATTGGCGGATAAGTGAAGGTATTTTTTATTAAGGTTTTTTTTTAAGTCTTTTAAATGTTTAGCTGTAGAATTACGATAAATACAAAAGCGAAACTTCAAAAAATAAATGTGAAATATACATCAAAAACTTTAAAATAATTAAATACATTTTCACTTATACCAACAAAAACGTCTTTATTCTTGTCACCGATCGTTAGAACCAACGATGCCATATTTGATGTTTACTTTTTTTCCACGCTACCGCCCGCAGGAAGTCCAAAGTCTTTTAGTTCCGTACGTGTTATTACTATTACATCACCTTACTACGCGTCTTACAGAAATCTCCCAATTAAAAAAAAAATCATTTAGGCAGATCACACGTGTTAGAAATACAACCTTCAAAAAACTAAGTTTCTAGAGAATAAGACGAATGCAGAGTAACAAGAGTAAGATAATTGTAGGATTTATTTATTATAATATTATTACCATATATATCAAAGGGCATCGGTATGATCTTAGGGTGTGAATAGCTACCAAAAACTATCACTTTCCAAATAGTGTTAATTAAGATAGAATTCTTCTATTTAGCAATGTTTCTTTTTTATTGAAAAATTAGTATAAATTTCCTGAATATGCAAATATTATAATTAAAATAAACGAAGTATCGGTATCGTTTGGGAACCCTTCTAGCTCACCCAGACTTACACACTTATACAACTTAACACTTATACAACTTACAAAAAAAGACTTTTCACCACTCCGTGCGGAAAGTGTCAACTTTCCGCCAGCTGTGTAAAACGAAGTTGCCGCTTTCCGCCTACGTCGAGCAGAAAAAAAGTATAAACACCTTGGGCAATAAATAAGAAAACCTCAGAGCACATGTTTATTGACCTCGGCTTCGCCTCGCACAACAATTACATGTGCTCTGAAACATTTCTTACTTTACCGCCCTAGGTATGTAATATACTAATACACCTTTTTTTTTATTTCGACCGTCGATTCGTTGTACCTTATTTTTATGTCGCCTACATGCTTCTTCTGTTTATTCTATTACCTTTCTATCACTCCTACCTACAAACAGGTTTTGTATCGAAATTATTGTATGTGTCTACGCTTCGTAGTATGCAGTCGCACACAACACACACATATACAAAGCTTAGTAGCCAGGAGTGGGACTACGAAGCAAAGACCAAGAATAGAAAAACTTGTACAGCTTTATTCTGTCTCATTCTCTCGCAGGCTCAATCCTATATGTTTGTCTCTTTTTCTCTTCTCATTTAGTATTAATGCAGTTTCTTCCCACACTACATCGCTGGTTTCCTTTCCCCACTACATTAGCGCGTTTTTTTTTCTCAAATCACACCCATTCTAAAGAAGTTTTCACTTCAAAAACCTCTATTCGGATGTTTCCGTTTAATTTCGGCTGTCTCCGTAGTTTGTACCGCCATTTTGACTATATATATCGAAAAACCCTTCCTCCTAAATTTTGGAATTTTTTGATAATTCGTTCCAAAGATATCAAGTTTTAAAAAAAAAACAGCTCTTTCTGTGGTTTTTAGCCCGTAACTTTTTTAAAACTCATCCACATGGAAATTACCATTCCACATAAAAGTTTTGTTTTTCAATGTACTTTTCGAAAAAAAATTCAAAAAAATTATTTAAAGTGTCTTAATACGTCATTTTCGATTTTTAAACTTTAAATTGCATTTTTTAAAGTGAGAATTGTGTGGAGCGCCGTCGGAATAGTAAATAATTTTAGTTGCATTGGGATTCAATTCTTTGACGAAATCGGTAACAATTTTCAAATAAACATAGACAGCAATTGCATCGTGTTCATGCTGTCAGAAATAATTATCTAACTTCGATGCGTAAGCTCACCATTCTGCTTAAAGTAAATGACTACAGGAAAAATTGTCGCTTGATTATTGTTCCAATGGAATCCCGGCGCTGCATCTTGTATTATAAACGCGTAATTCTCTGCAAAATTACAAACAGCTAAAAACTCTCCATCTTGCAATGATTCTTTTGCCTGCTTCATGAAAGCAGATTGCGATTTGGCAATAAAATCATGCGGTAAAAGATTGTTTATATGCTCACAAAATATTTCAACAAATTCTGACGAGCTCTTAGTGAGTGTTTCAAGGCTACAGCGGGGACTCGATATCCAATACTTATAATTAATTTCATCTATAGCATTTTCATCAAATACACTTTCCAATAGCTGCTGAAGGCCACCGATTCCTGGACATTTCTCACATTTTGATAAGTAACAATTGGGTGACGGATCGGAACATAGAATTAGCTTGAAACAATCACTGTAGTGTACCAAAGGAACAGTCGTATTACGAGTTAGCGTTGATAAGTTAAATCCTGTCAGAAAATAAATGTATTAACTTTTACAGTTGAAAAAGATAACTTTCATAATACTTACCCAACATCATAAGTTTTATATTTTGATGAATGGCACATACACAAACAGTATGCGTACCACTGGATCCTGCAAGCACACAGTTAACTGGTCTCAATGATGCAAAGCTAGAGAATCCTATATTATCATCTGGATATTGTTCTTTGAAAGTAACGTACAGTTCTTTCAAATTGTAGAGTATGAGTTTTTTCTGGACGTGTTCTCTTTAACCATTATCGTTGCGTACAGATATGAAATCTTTCATGCCAGGTAAGTTTACGCTCACATCGTCATTTTTATAGAATTCGATGACTTTACATTTAATATCGTCTGATAAGGGACGTCCTAGAAGCAATAAAAGTTATTGAGTTATAAGAAAAAGGACTGTACCTAAAAACTGTAATTTACAAACGAAGATCTCTTTAAATGTACCTTTTTTTTGTTCTGGCACTGAAAGTACACCTTTATTTCATTTTAATGATTTCGACATTATTGTCATGTGTTTCGTAGCACCCATAATGTCACAAACTTTTTGAATGCTCCAATCACTAGGCAATATAGTTAAAATTTGTAATTTTTGAGCTCGAGTCGTTTCTTCACTATCAAACTTAGATTTGGGATTTATTAAAATATTCTAATTGATTGAATTCTCATAATGATTGGAGACATTATCTAATCCCAATAATGTTGCAAATGTAGAGCAAATTTCATTGTACTTCTCACTCAACTAAATTGGATTATTAATTGTATATTTATCTATCTGAGGAATATTTAATAAAAGCAATGCTTGGTTGATAACAGGTAGTTGAGTTGAAACTCAAAACCGGCATCGTACGGGTAACTTCTTCTCCTGACAATGACTTCAATCCTTGAACAAAACGGAAAAAAGAAACAGATAAATGTTATATTCAAAGTTAACTTCGAAATACAAGAGTAAAAAATAAAGAATACCTGAGGAAAACGAATCACCAGTAGATATCGGATCAGTTATCTGACAGTATTCAGTATTGCTAATATCATCTGAAACATTATCGTCAACAATAATGCCATCGATATCAGAATCTTCATCTCCAGTATTGCATCCATTGTCACTTTCATCACACTCATTAATTTTATGACTTGATCCAAATGCAACCGATTTAAGAGATCCTAATGTCTTCCTACAAGTTGAGCACAAGTAATCGAAACGCGACAAATTCCATGATTCTTGAAGCTTTGCCGAAGCTAATCTTAATCCTTTACTCGCAGGATGATTTACTAATTTTAAAGGATTGCAACATTTACTAAACCTAGCTTTTGCTTCCATTTTTAAATATTTATTTCGCATCAACAAATTAAAATACACAAAATTTACTGGAGGACATTAAGTAGTGTCTTTGTATCATTGTAAATGATACATGGATGTATGGATACATGATACATGGAATTATGTACATATGTACATTGTTATATAACAAAAGAGGTTATGATACAAAAATAAAATCAATATGACTATTAATGAGAAAAAAGGTAACAGTAACGCCACTACGCAAAAAAATCATAAAATGATTTTTTAAATTTGAAATGAATTTTTTAATGCTTTTATTCACATAAAAAAGCTATTTCATTACAGAAAATTGTATTGGATAATGGACTGCCAAAATTTCTCAAAAAATCACGAAAATAAATTAAGACTTTTTTTATTTTTGTTAATTATTAATCTTAATCAGTAGTTAAGACTTTCCTACGCTTGTTATAATAAAAAAAAATATGTAAAGTGTTTCAAAATACATTAAAAGAAAGAAATAAATGACAAAATTTTATAAAATAAAAAAAAAAATTTTTTTTTAATTTTCAAAAATCGAAAAAAAATAGTAATTATCGAAGGCCCACGACCAGACCGGCCTAAAAAGTTGTGGAATTAGTAGTAATTTGCTGTAAAAAATTTTGAAGAAAATCAAAATATGCACTCACTTTAAAAAATGCAATTTAAAGTTTAAAAATCGAAAATGACGTATTAAGACACTTTAAATAATTTTTTTGAATTTTTTTTTCGAAAAGTACATTGAAAAACAAAACTTTTATGTGGAATGGTAATTTTCATGTGGATGAGTTTTAAAAAAGTTACGGGCTAAAAACCACAGAAAGAGCTGTTTTTTTTTTTGAAAACTCGATATCTTTGGAACGGATGATTAAAAAAATGCCAAAATTTAAGAGGAAGGGTTTTTCCACGGAGGATAGATACCAGGAGTCCGAACGATATAGGATTTTCCCCACTTTTTGTGGTAGTCATTTCTTGACCCAGATCATAGTTCTCTTTTTTGCCACTAGTAGCGCAAGTATTCAGAGCGTACCGATACTATTATTATTACATTTAAATTAAATATAAAATATTAATTTATTTTTTTAGAATAATTTTTATTAAAAAATGGGAAAGTGTTGTGCCGTTTATGGTTGCCTTACTGGCCGAAAGGCAGAGGAGAATTTAGGAAAAGTGGCTTTATTCAAAGCACCAAAAGTGAGTAATCTCAAGATAATATTAAAAATTTTACAACAAATTTATTAACAAATAATTGATTATTACATTTGTGTAGTTTTTAAATAATATTTGAAAAATGTTACATTTTTATTTTTTGTATGTAATATAGAAGTAATTAGTTTTATTTTTTTCTAAAGAATGTTGAAATGCTCAGTAAATCAATAAAAAAATTAATCACTCTAATTTAAAAAATAATTTAAAATTCTCCATTACGAAAGCAATATTCCGGATACTCTTAAAACTATAATAATTTGGTTTGTAAATATTAAATATGTTTTATTTGTACTATTAATAAATAATATGTTTGACAATAACTTATTTATTTTTTTTTTTT